TGCTCGGGCAGGAAACCCTACACCATTTCGGACAAATGGCTGTCCAGTCTCTTCTTAAAAACTTCCAGTGTTGGAGCATTTACTGCTTCTGGAGGCAAGCTGTTCCACTGATTAATTGTTCTCACTGTCAGGAAGTTTCTCCTTAGTTCTAGGTTGCTACTCTCCTTGATTAGTTTCCACCCGTTGCTTCTTGTCCTGCCTTCAGGTGCTTTGGAAAATAGCTTAATTCCCTCTTCTTTATGGCAGCCCCTGAGATATTGGAATACTGCTATCATGTCCCCCCTTGTCCTTCTCTTCGTTAAACTAGACATACCCAATTCTAGCAACCGTTCCTTATATGTTTTAGCCTCCAGTCCCCTAATCATCTTTGTTGCTCTTCTCTGTACTCTTTCTAGAGTCTCAACATCTTTTTTACATCGTGGTGACCAAAACTGGATGCAGTATTCCAAGTGTGGCCGTACCAAGGCATTAAAGAGTGGTATTAATACTTCACGTGATCTTGATTCTATCCCTCTGTTAATGCAGCCTAGCACTGTGTTGGCCTTTTTGGCAGCTGCAGCACACTGCTGGCTCATATTTAAGTGATTGTCTACTAGGACTCCGAGGTCCCTCTCACAGGTGCTCCAGTTCTTTTGGAATTGCACCCAAGGCGCCTATTACTATTGGTACTATCCTTTTCTTGCCTTTGCCACAGTTCTTTATTTCTATTTGTAGGTCTTTGTATTTTGTTATCTTCTCCAGTTCTTTGTCTTCTATTCTGCTGTCTCCAGGCACTGCCAAGTCCACTATCCAGACTTTTTTGTCTTTCTTATCGACAATTGTTAAGTCCGGGATGTTAAGTGGTAGGTGCTTGTCTGTTTGAATTCTAAAGTCCCAGAGCAATTTAACATTTTCATTTTCTATGACTTTCTCTATTTTATGGTCCCACAAGTTCTTGCTTACAGGCAAATGATATTTCTTGCAGATCTTCCAATGAACTATTGTTGCTACTTTGTCATGCCATTGCTTGTAGTCAGTCTATGTGATCTTGCAGCAGCTTACCAGGTAGTCCATTGTTTCTTCAGCTTCTTTGCCTAGGTGCATTTACTCTGTACTGTCTTCTGAATTTTGACTTTATATGCATTTGTCCTTCAGGTTTGGTCTTGTGCAGCCAGAACTGATCCCTTGGTCTCTTTCTTCAATTTTACTGCTCTTAGCCATTGCCAGGTCTTGTTATTATCTGCTTTCCCAGCTATTTTTTTTTTTTTAATGTACTGGCCATGTAGTGCTTTTTCTTCCCATGCCTCTATTCTGTTCTTCATTTGGTCTTTCTTGTAGGCCTACTTTCTTAAGTAGTCAATAAGCCTTCCTGATATAAAAATTTCAGTGCATCTTCATCACTGTTCTTCAGATATTCTCCCAAAGCCATTTTTTCTTCTTCAACCATCTTCCATACCCACCTATTTGCCTTGGTAGATAAAGTCTGTCAATGTCACTGCGTGGATGAAGGGCATGATTCATTGTCATTATTTTTCTGGTCTTCCTATCCATTGCTTTTAGTTCTGCTTGAGTCCAGTCCACTATTACAGCTGTGTATCTAATACTGGAATTGCCTAGGTGTTGATTGCCTTTATGGTATTTCCTCCATTGAGTTTGGACTTTAAGATCTTCTTCACTTTCTTGATGTATTCACCTCTAATCTTTTTCTTGACTTCAGTGTGTTTGATGTTGTCAGCTTGAAGGATACTTAAGTATTTGTAGTAATCTTCCTCATCCAGACTCTTAATGTTATTTTCATGGGGCATCTTGATTCCTTCAGTTTTCGCTATTTTTCCTTGTTTGATAGTGTGTGTGGCACATTTGTCCAAGCCAAACTCCATTGCATTAATAATAATAATAATAATAATAATAATAATAATAATAATAATAATAATAATATTCTGAAACCTTATGAATGGGCCCTTTTAATGTTCTTGACATAGAATAAATGTAGCTTGCAATTATCTTTCTCTAATGATTTTGGATTTCCCAATCTAAGTTAAAGACCGGGGTTATCATTGTGGTGTCCCCCTATAAAAGTATTTTATTTTAATTTTGTTTTGTTTTATTTTAACTTATTTTTTGTTCATTTCAGAAAACATCAAGTATTGCAGCTAATGATGAATAAGTTTTCTGGAGGAAACTGTTGTTGGCTAATTATGAATTATAGCTTTTAAATGAAATATTATTTTAAACATTTGTGAATTTCCTATTTGTCATCAAGAAACAGCAGGTCTACTAACTTCTTCCAGCTGGGTTTTTCCCTAGAATAAATCTTGGTTTTTGATAACCTCTGGGGGGTATAAAGTATGGGATTTATTTTAATCTGAAACAAGATCATCGTTTTGTTTCATTTTTTTAATGTACCAAAATAAATGTCAAACTGATCTACTACTGAAGAAAAGTATCCGTGGCTCCTGATAACATATTCTCTCAGTGTTCTTCTTTGCTTGTCAGTGAGTTAAAGAAAAAACCTCTGACATCAACAGCACAATATCTGCCAAGCAAGCCCAGAGAGGTTTCCACTATGACAGCTGAACTGTCTAAGACCTTTCCTGATGTTTTATAACGTTTCTGTTCCAGGCCCACCATCTGAATATAAAATGCAAGTGTCAGGCATGACACCTACTTTATAATCTCTGTAAAGCAAACCTTTTCATAAAAATGTGTTGACGGTTCAGAGATTCAAAGTCAATTTCAATTCAAGCCCATGTTCAAGATGGGCCTTTTCCCCTTCTCATCTGCAACTCATGTGAAAATTGAAAGCAGGTGATTTTTCAGCCTATAGCAAAGCATGTTAAATAATTTTTTTTAAAGTATGGTTCTTTTAGATGAGAAATATATATATTATTCTTTTCAGTATGTTTTGAAAACATTTCTTTTGAGATTTAATTTGTGTTATTGGCAGAGATTGATTATCCAAAGTAATAGTAATGCTTAGTAATAGTAGTAAAGTTGGAAGGGATCTTGGAGGTCATCTAGTCCAACCCCCTGCTCGGGCAGGAAACCCTACACCATTTCGGACAAATGGCTGTCCAGTCTCTTCTTAAAAACTTCCAGTGTTGGAGCATAATCTTTTAGAGTAGTTTTGTAAGGTTTTGTTTTGCTTTATTAACATGTAAATGTTCTTGAAATATCCTTTCTGGGCATAATATTTTCAGAATCATATATAATTCGTAGGAGAGATCTGTCTGTGTGTGAACATACACCATAAATAAATTAAACTTGAGTTTATCAAATGGCATGGCTTGAATGAATGGCTTTTTTGTGAGATGCAATTTTCAACCATAAACATAATTATATTGGAATGCTAATATATGTAGAAAATTGACTGGAATTCCAGCTTTTTTCCCTACAGGAAACAACTATATATGTTACCTCCTGGTCCTAACTATATTTTCTGTAAACCAAATAGGACAAAGTTTAAAACCTCATTGATCTAAAATTCAGAATTTTAGAACTAAAATTCTAAAATGAATGGAAAATACCAGACTATAGCAGAAATTAATTATTTATATGTTATTCAGACAGTTTACATCTTTTCATTTTGCCAACTTAACAAACCCATAAAAAATTGACCATTATGGAAACAATAAAGCATTAGTACATAAAATGACTAATACTAAAAGATAATTTAAAACTAGAATAAAATATAAAAGAACTGTTATCAAATGTAAAAGTGGAAAGAATCTCCAGTGTTGTCCCATGACCATTTAGATTGAAATGCTTTTGAGTTCCCAATTATTATGTGTATTGATTTTAGATCCAAGCATGTCTCTGAATCTGGGCTGTAATGCTAGAAAATATGGACCCACATTGGTAAAGCACTCACAACATGTGAGACAATAGTGCAAAATGAACTTCCTGTTCTTGCAGTGACAAAATGCAACATTTAAAAGTGCTTTTCTCTTGAGAACAAATGCTGGAACTAACAAAGAAGAGATCACCACTTGATGTAACCATAGCACCCTAACTTCATATTCCGTCAAACCAAGTGGGCTCCTAAAGCTGGAAAAGCAAGTGCTTAAGTTTATTAATTAACTAATATTAACTCATAAAAATTTCAAGGACATTCCAGTAATCTCATTGATCCCATACATTTCTTACCCATTGAGTTTCAATTCTTTTGCTATCCTCCATCTTTCCAGACATTGTCATTGTCAACAGAAGAAAATATATATAGTTCAGGGTTGAACTGTGGAATTCTTGGTGCTCTCTGAGCTTGCTTATTCAGAGCACTGATGATGTGCCTACTTGGATAATGAAATATCTATTTAAAAAAATAGCAAATCTCAGAGAGCACAAAGGACACCACTATCTTTTCTCCCAAATTTGTTATCAAGTTGCATCTCTACAAAGCATGTGAGTTTCTGCTAGTCTATTATTGCTTCAAGAAATCAGTCAATTCTTATTAGTCCAGGATTGTCTGATACTTTTTAGAGCCCATTTATCATCTCTCAGTCTGTAATTTGAAGTTATCTGTATCCTTTCTCTTGTTTGTCTTAATTTTTAGAGCCGTGACTATTCTAACTTTGTGGTTATTGAAATATTTTGTCCTTCGCTTATAGACATATTTTTATTTATTTAATTTATATCCCAGCTCTATTTTTTTATAAACAATTCCAGGTGGCAAACATATCTAATGCTCCTTCTTCCTCCTATTTTCCCCAACAACCCTGTGATGTGAGTTGGACTGAAAGGGAGTGACCAACCAGTGGCAAACCACTTCCAAAATCTCATCAAGAAAATTGTAGAGACTTGTCATTAGAAGTCAACAAAATTCAAATGGATTTTAAAAAAGATCAGGGTAGACCAACTCAGACACTATATATTTTATCCATAACTCCACAAATTTCTTGTGTTATTGAATGTTGAATATGAGTGATTTCTGGTGGGCATTTCCTACCCCTAACTTAAAACATGGAACACCTGTGTGACATAGTATAATATAGTTTAACATGCATTGTAGGCCATTCATTTGTTTCCTCTCAGTCTGTCCAATGTATTTTCAAATAACATGAATCTGATCTAAATTAACTTGCTCATGTTTCACCATGAACCTAAAATTAGCTATCTGTTATCAGTGAGTATTTTTTGTTATAAATATGGAACAGCTGTTTAGTATATTTGAGCAATTGCTCTGGGTAAGTCGGAAGCAATCGGTTTTGGTTGATCGGTGCAGATTAATCAAGTGCAAATTAATCAAGAAGTACTTCATTTAGATTTTCTTCTAATCTAAGCCATTCAGCTCAATGTAACAATTGCTACTGTTGTTCCATATTTGTAAAGTAAATGTAACCTAGAAGAGCCAGTTTGGCCTAGTGGTTAAGGCACCTGGCTAGAAAGTCGGAAATGGTGAGTTCTCTTCCATCTTAAGTATGAAAGCCAGGCCTTGGGTCTGTTGCTCTCTCAGCCTAAGAAACTTCAAGGATGGTTGTTATGGGGAGAATAGGAAGAGGAAGGTGTGTTGGATATGTTCACCACCTTGCATCATTTGTAAAAATAATAAAGGAGGGTTACAAATAAATAAAATAACTATTAAAATGAGACATGACTGTTATAATTCTGGAAATATATATTTTGCTATCTGTTTACTTCTCGGATTTTAAACTAGATTTTAAACTAAAAAGGCCAAAGAACATGTTCAGGATCATTTCTGTGATACTGACACTAAAATTAAATGGGCAAATAAGTTTTCAGGGTAATATGCATAGCTTAATTTATTCAGTAAAAGGGTATTCCTTAGGAAATTTACATCAATAAAGAATTTCTGTTAATTGGCAAGTAAAACTGCTGATGTATTAATTTACATATAATGAGGTCTACAGGGAATTTTTTAATATTGGGAGGTTCCAGGTGAACCGTCAGGACTTTGATTAACCTTTTATATACCTATGTAAACTTTCTGTCAATGCTGGAGAACTGGAGAGGAAGCCCCTTGCTTCAAGCTAATTGGGGAATGTGATTTATGACAGTTAATTGGAGGAGGGAATTGTGCTTTGATACTATGTGCCCAGGGGAGAGGAATTCATTTTTTGTTCTCAATTACGAATAAAAGATTCTTTAAGGTAAACAATCCCTTGAAGTTCTTTTGAGGAGTTTCGGAACCATGACACTTTCATTTTTTTTCTGGATTTGCCTATGGGGCCCAGTCTCAGTAAACATATTTATATTAGATTACACCCAGATTTAGTAATAATTGAATATATCCATTTAAATCTATTGTAAATGGGCAACTATCATGAAATTTGTTTATTTTTGAGGAAATCAATCCATTATGATATTGTTTGTGAAGCATATTTTGTGTGAACCTATTCAATTACCAGATCTAATTTCTACCAATTAATTTCCATGAGTCATACAACATTGTTCAATAAGAGTTATAAATTATAATTTTGTGAATAGGATTCAATGTGCACTTTTCTTAAATTTATTTGAGAATTAGTTTGTCATCTATTTTTTCTGCATTTGTATTTCTTCCTGTTTTCTGGAAAGGCAGTCCCTGGCATACAAATAATCAGTGAGCCATCTCCTTCATTCTTTGGTTGAGCTGTAAGGAGACAGAATATTGTTTTATTAAAACTTTTGTTGACTCAGAAATTCTACCAAATATTTATTATAGAGTTATAAAGATGGAAAATTTTCCCCAAGTTGTTTGGGATGCTATTCCAACAACTCATAGTTGTCTCTTGAAGTGTCTGCAATCTCTCTGTTTGACAAGTTTCAATTTAGGATATTTTCATGACAAAACTAAATCCAGCAGATCTCTATTTATGTCACTGTTTTGTGTGCCTTTGTTCTTATAGCAAAACTCTCTGCTTCATCCATGGCTGTTAAAGGCATGATATCATTTTTTGGCTTTCTGCTTTTATTTTATTGCACTTAAAGCTAAACAAGTGTTGAGTTGGTAGACCCCTTGGCAAGAATACTATAACATAAAGCTGTCATAGCTAGCATTTCAAGTACAGCAAGTTCCTTTTGGGAGAACAGCAGAGAAGATGCACATGAATATCATCCAGCTATGACTGAATTCACAAGTCAGATGGTGATTTGGTTTGTTTGGTTTAGCAGATCATATTGTGCAGAACTATCTATTATGAACCGCGATTATATCCTAGCATGCCCCAGTAGTTATGCTTTATTTCATAAAGCAAGGCATAGTATAATATGAAATGAAATGAACCCAACCAATGCAGAACAAGCACCAATATGCAATAACTAGTAATATTTGGATGCATCAAATGCCTTTGAAATGAGATGGGAAAGATGTTGAGCATTTTCTGGAGCAGGTCCTCTGGAACAATATACTCTTCAAAGTATGTATACCTTCCAGTTTTGTGGCGTTTTGGAAACTGTGAAAAATTGGTTCTTTTGGCCTTTGGAGATTAACATATCATGATACCACTCCTTAATTTGCTAATGTTGCATTTTAATCCTATACTAATTTTGCAGTTGTATCCTTTCTTAATTTCTATAAATTACTGCACCCATTGCCATAGTACTATTTCCAAATTTCTCTTTTTCTAGTTTTTTAACCTCCACTGTTTCATTAAATTGTTTTATTTCTATTGTTTTACTTTGAATTATGATAGATTATTTATGATACATTTATAGTAATTTTCATTATTATTTCATTGATCTTTACAAAAGCAAAAGTTAGGGTAGTATTATGCTGATAACATATAATAAAATCCACTAACAAAGTTTTGCTAGAAGTGACATTTCTATAAAAGATGCTTGGAGGAAGGACTATATGTCTTGAGGTATAGTTGGCAAAAGTTCCTATTTCCCAATATTTTCAGATTTTCTTTTCTAAAGATATTGAACACTGCTGCCAGAGAGAGAAAATACTTCTATAAGGACCAAAGTTCCTTTGTTCAGATGAGAACTGAAAAAGCTTCTTGAATGAAAAGCAAAACGTTTTCAAGGAAAAAAAACTAAAAAAGTCCAGTTGTCTTTTGAAAAAAGCACTTCGGAACAACCATAACCTGGATGATTGAGAATCTCCTTAGAACTTTTATAACTTTGATTAATATCTCTGTTATTTTGGCAACTCCTTAATAGTTATGGTTTATTTCTCTCCTTCAACTATAGTTATGATGTATATTGAACAAGATGCTGTTGGGTTCTTACTATTTAAATATATGTTTTTCTGATTTTTGAAGAGTCTTTCCTTATGTTTCTTTTTCAGAAGAAAAATCCCTCACTTTTTTTTGTTTCAGCATCCAAATTACTTGAAAAACTAGGTAGTCTGCCTTTTTAAAAAGCCCTCTCCATGCCCCCCATTTGAAAAATACCTGCAGATTAAATTGTAAGAAAACCATGGTAACCAACTGCAGTAAATTTTGTTGCCTCTGTTATGTCAAAGTGTTGTCTCTAACAAAAGAAACTAATGGCAGCATTCAGAGAACTTTTCTCATACAACTGCTGACAACTTAATCAATCTATTATTATTATTATTAGAGTTATTTAAGCAGAGGCAATGGTGCTAGCATTTCTCATAATCAGTCCTTGAGCCAGATATAATTTGCAATTTGTAGCATTGTATTTTGAAACAATAAGGCATTTAAATGTACAGTGCATAAAATTAGAAGCAGTATGGTCCAAAGATACATTGGAGAACAGCCACTGCCTGAATGTCCTCTCTCAAATGATCTTAAGTGGGCACTGCTAATTTAAGAAGGTCATAATACAATTTTATTAATTTAATTCAGAGTTGTTACCATCAAGTCTATTTGATTTCATAGACTAGATAGTAGAAATTGACTGACTTTCTGCATATGGTGGGTTTTTTTTTTTACATACACGGCCCTTTTGTGATCTTGTAAGGCTAAAATATGACATTAACTATTGATGCTAATGTCCATTTGTTTTTTAAAGCTAGTTTCAAGACTCAAAGCACTCTATTTTTTAAACTTTCTTACTCCAAAATCCTGATAAGCTTTTTTGCATTTAATTTTTTTTATATCTTTGTAAATGATTCTTTCCTTTTAATTTAATCTTTCCCAGATTCAAGGTACACTGCCACAGGTGGCATTGGGTGCACTGTGGCTCTGAAGATCTCTTTTCACTTTAAATTTGCTCCATTTTAGCATGCTTTAAAACATGGATCAATCAGATGTCCTTTCAACAGGCTTCATGCAAAGCTGTAAGCATGTTATCTTCTCCTATGGCTCTCTGCCCTCTATTCATAGATTGCCTTCAAAATCTCCAGAGCTGCTTCCTCACTGCCACCAGCATTAGGAGCACCACCACCACCATCACTGGAGCTATTATGGGTAATCTCATGGGTTCTCCTTATCCATACAAGCTCCATTAGTTTGGGCATATCATCCAGATGTCAGATTTTGTTTTTGTCTCTGTTGTTTTGTGGAGGCATGCTAGTCTCCCATATTTCTGCCCAGAATTTGACAAGATATGCAATAAAGCACATTTGAATATTGCTAGCTAAATGCTGCCTGAATTTTTTTGTTAGTGGCTTAATAGCTGTCTTAAATCCTTCAGTTTCAGTCTTTGTGGAGTTTTTAAGTATTTACTTAGCTAACAAACCATCACAAACTTGATTGGATAATACTGATTTGGAACGAGAATAGTTTTGAGAAGTATTTCATAACAGAGAAGTAAGGATGTGTTGCCCATTATGACTGTATTATCTATTACAATGAATTTAAACTATTTAGATCACCAAACTTTGATCCCTCCCAACCCCCCAGCCCGCCTCCCAGGATAAACAAACCATAACTAAGATTCTTTCAGAATTCAAACCAAGATAGATAATCTGATCCTACCAAGACTATTAAATGTGCTTGTATATTGCATTCAGTATTTCTTATTTAGCTATTCCTAACCAATCCCAAAAATGTGTTTGATTTTGTAAGATTTCCATTAAACTTCAGTGCTCTTTTTCTGTGGTTGCTCTCATCACTGCTGATTATCAAGACTCTTATCTCTTAATAGAAGCTTTTCTCTTCCTAATCTTGCATCTTTGATTGAGTCATTGAAGTAGCAACCCTCTGTTTAACTCATTACAGTTTGCTCCTCTTTTGTATTTTATGTAAAGTTCACTGACATCAAAATGCAAGCCTGATGGCATGAATTTTTGGTTGCTAAGGCATAGAGATCTGTATGTTAAGCAATAACTTTTAAGAAAATAATGTCTATTCCAAAGTTCAATTATATAGTCATAATGCTTACGGCTATTGTCATATATACATCTATTCACTTTTAAAATATGTTTCAAGCTTGTTTATATATATATTTCAAAATACATATCAGTTATTCATAGCATTCCTTTGCAGGGAGACATGAAGTAAAAAAAGTTAAAATGTATATAAAATATGAGGAAAGCATAAATTGAGGCAATCAACTGTCAGCCACCACACATCACAACAAGGATAAAGTTGTTTAATTAATCATATTGCAGCAGTATGATTAATATCAAAAGTTAAAATAAAGGAGACTAAAAATGCAATTTCTTGGCAATAAAAAAGACAATACAGTAGAAGCAAGGCATTACTGTATAGCAGTGGTCTGCAACTTTTCTGGCACCAGGAGCCAGTTTTGTAGAAGACAATTTTTCATGGGGGGGAGGGGGGATGTTTTTGCATGCAAACTAGATCCTGTACAAGTGCAGATGAAGCTTCGCTTGATTAACTGCAGCTTGTGTGGCCTGGTTCTTAACAGACTGCAAATCGATACCGGTCCATGGCCCGGGTGTTGGGGACCCCTGCTGTATAGAGTGGCTATTGCAAAGTTAGGGACCGTCACTCAGAAGAATTTACCTTGAATAGCCACCTGCCCATTTTAGCCTCTAGGCAGAGTAAATCAGTGTATCCAAAGAAGAAAAAATTACAGATACATGAAAAATTGTGAATCTTGTGAATTGTGAATTCTTGATCACATCCTTCCAGAGATTTAGCTTCCTCCAATTTGGATACCACAAAAGAGATATATAATAGTTCCTCCTCTTGTTCCTTTGTTTGGATGACTTGTTCCCACATCTTTTTATCTTGCGTTTTTCCATTCTTCAGCAACTGATTGGCTAGTTGGTCTACTGTTACGTCCGTATGATTTTGCTGTGGAATAAGCTGTACTAATTCTTGATCTGTATAGAGGTAATATCAGCCATTGAATTGGAATCAGGAAAAGACTAAAAATTATGTAATGCTAGCATAATAATGTTTCAAGTTGCTTCTAAAACCTATCTGAAATTTTGATTCCTTTTTGGGACAGCAGTACATGCCACACATTTCAATATATTTAGTGACAAGTGACTAGGAGGTAAAGAATTACTACAGCTCACTCCACAGCAAAATCATACAGACGTAACAGCAGATCAAGTAACCAGTTGCTGAATAATAATCTCCCTTCCTAAACTCCTAGGGTCTGTAAGTGGGCGGACAGTGGAGTTTTCCAGGGTTATGATTGTTACAAAAGCAACAATCCTAACTGAGCCATAGATCTCAATCTAATGAACAGGTTCTCATATCCAGTAGTCTGTGGGGAGCACCCCTGAAAGCCAATAGACATTCTTGGATGACAATTGCCACACCTCTATCCTGAGATCTGGCTGATGCCATACCCCAAACCCAGCTGGGCAAAACTCTGAAATAGGGATGTCTTCTGGACTAGGTCAGGTCTCAATAATACACATTACTCAGTAATACACATTACATATATGGATGAGAGCAGCCTTCTTACAGGCTAATCTGATGTTAAGCAGCAGTTGCCCAAAGCCCATGCTCTGAAGGTCTGCTGACCCAAGACATAGGGGAGAACATAGGAGGAAAATTTGCAACACCAGAATAAGATACTAGGGCCACATTCTCTAAGAATAGCCCATACCCTGTCTCCTCCCTATCCATCCCTACCAAGATGTTTTGACCACTTGACCCCCGAAAAATGTCTTTGAACCCATCCTGAGTGACTACAAGTTGGAGGAACCTCACTCCGTCATTCTCAATACCCAACACATTCCTGGGACTTGGGTTGCTTCAGTTCATACACCTAGTTTCACTGGTATCTCAGATAAAAGTCTTGAGCCCAACTAACATGACATCTCAACCAGGTAGCTCCCAATCAGACTTCTCTTGTTGGCCTGATAGGACTATCCCATTTCACCTTCAAAAACAAGGGTTATTCAATTGCCACTTCCCTGTCCCAGCTCTCACCTTGGCAAAGATCAAACTGATCCTTAATAGGGAAGAATCATCCTACCAAACAAACTGAAAATCAGACTACCCACTATTACATCCAATGATTTAAAAAGCAGATGGGCATTGATAAATCCAGCCACAAAAATGACTGCAATGCTGTCTTTCAGAGCTCATATCGAAGGGGTAGGCAAAATGTCCACTCAAAACGTGCAGGGGTAAACACAACAGCCTCGAGCATAAGTTTGATTTAGCACACTGTTCTCTATCTATTCCTGCCTCTGTCGTTGCTAAGTGTTCTGATATAAAGTTAACCATAGGAAGGTAATCCAGAAATCTTGTTTTGTATCTTGGAACAGACAACTTGGATCCAGACTTACTTGTATCCTCTCCTGCTGTCTTCTCAAGTGTTTTGTGTTCCCTTAATGTTCGGGTGAGTCCTAGTGTGTTCTTAAGCACTCTAGGATTTAAACACCCCCTGGTTCTTAGTTGCCAACTAGGAGGAAAACTCAAGCTTAGTAAGTCTTAACTTGCTTGCCAACACGGAGAAAAAGGACACACACAAAGGATACATACAATCCACTAACAGAATCTCTCCCTTTCCTGGATTCAGTTTTTGGCCCCAGTCCAGGCAATTACTGGCAGGATCAGATGGAAAAAGAAAAAGCTTAGATTAAAGTTCAAAGCAGATAACATTAAATATAGACATCTTTAGAATTGTTCATTTAAAAATCTGATGGAAAAATGTGTCACATATGTAACCTTTTTGTCTGCATCTATTTAAATCCTGTATCAAAAGGCCAGCCCCTATCCAAATGATGCATGACGTTTGGTAGACCTCTAGAGGATAAAGGTTTCAATAGTTTTTGGTGTAATTGCCAATAATGTCTTCTCCATAAACACTTTATGATCATTGTTAGCTATTTTAACAGGGCATTCTTGTTTCCTTCTATGGGTTATGCAGACGTCCCCACCATTCTGTCTGCCAAATGTTTTGGAATGTATTCCAGTCATCCTTTATTATTGGCTGTGCTAGCTGAAGACAATGAGAGTTGCAGTCCAAAACATATGGACATGGAAAAGCTCACCTAATTAATATGTGGAATGCATAGCTTTCTTGAATTATTGACAGTCATGTGGAAGTTCTGTCTGCCAGATTAGACAATTGCCAGATTTTATGTAGGACATCAATCATGGTATTTGGCATTATATTTTTTGAGTTTTATTTAAACATACCCTATTTAACTATTATGTCCTTTCTGGAATATCAATTAGGAAAAGCATGATCACAGATAGAAAAGATAGAGCAGAGATAGGAATCCTCCAGATGTCGATGTTGTTCAACTCTGACCAGCAATACAAAGGATGGCCAATTGGAAGAGATACTGGAAATTTAGCAATATATGGAGTGCCCCAGAATGCCTACCATTATAGAAAATGAGAGGGAAAATATTATCCAAATGGCTTCAAGCAAATTAAAATAATCTCTTAGAACAAACTAAAATAATTATAAATAAAAGTACGAGCCTTCATGTATTGAATTATACCCTCCATTGCTCCAACATGACCACTAGCTGGTTAAGAATGATATTTCTTGTCCATTAAATGATAAAGGTTTTCAGGTTTGAGTTAATTACTGGGAATCAGGTAGCATATAAATTTAATACGTGATAATGCTGATATAACTAAATATTTGGTTGATCTGGGCTTTTTGTTGCTATTTTTCATTTTCAGATGAAAAATGGTTTCTTCTGACATAGTTCTTGGGATAATTGCTTTCTTAGTGTATGACACATCTGGTACACAAACACATGCATTTACAAGTAAATATAAACCTGTGTTCCCCTTCTGTCATTTTTGTGAAGAAAATGTATACTGTGGTCTTTTAGGTCTTGAACCCTTACCAAGTAACCATAGCAACCGACACCCAATTTGAGACAAAAGCCTAGCAAGTCCGTTGTTCGGGGAGACACATTTGTAGAAGATGGTGACTAGAAGCAAACAAGGAAGAAATAAATTAACAAAAATCAAGGAGAAAAGAATGAAGGAGAAAATGTTTCATTATACTATCGTGGAATCTAGGAAATATTTTGAATTAAAATATTTAGAATGCACCAGACACCCCTGTGTAGAAGATCCATTGAACATATTGTTAATAAATTTATATCTAATCTCCCCCATGCTCAAAACAGCTAGACATAAAATACTATGGTTAAAACTGAAATGTCATTCATTAAACACTAATCAGATAAAAGCACACTGTAACAGATAAATAACTACTCACCTGATTTAAATCTAATTTTGTATCAAATCAAGCTTAAATGCCAAAAAGAAAAATGTTGCCAGAAGACTCTTGGTTTTCTACAATTATTAGATTGATTGTCCTGCAGAAATCTAGAAGCCTCCTGAATTCCAATGGCAACCATGTTCAAGAACATTCTCTATTCTGAAGAAGCGTTCTTTTATTCATTTGTTCTTCCCCTTCCCAAACCATCTTTTTAAGCCAGGAAAAGCAAGATCATATTTTTTTTCAACGGTTTTGTCATCAATCATGGATAATAGAAATTAAACTTTGTTGAAAGCTAATGTTAGGTTAATGAGTTTTTTAGACTTTAGAAGATGCTTTGCAACACTTTAGAAACAGGATAACAAAATATCAAAACAACAGAGTTGAAAAAGACCTTGGAGGTTATCAAGTTTTGCTTGAACAGGAGACGCTATATCATTTCAGACAAATGGTTGTTCAATCTCTTCTTAAAAACCTCCAGTGCTGGAGCACCCACAATTTTTGAAAGTAAGCTATCTATTGGTTGATTGTTCTCACTATTAGGAAATTTCTCCTTAGTTTTAGATTGTTTCTCTCCTTGATTAGATTCCATTTATGATTTCTTGTCTTTCCTTCAGGTGCTTTAGAAAATAGTTTGACCCTCTTATCTTTGTGGCACCCCATCAGATATTGGAACACTGCTGTCATGTCTCCTCTAGTCCTTAGACTAGATGTATTTAACACCTGCAACTATTCTTCACATGTTTTAGCTTTAGCACCTTATCATATCCATTGCTTTTTTCTGCACTCTTTCCAGAGTCTCAACATGTTTTTTATATTGTGACCAAAACTGGATGCAGTATTCCAAGTATGGTCTTATCAAGCTTTGTAAAGTGGCATTAATGCTTCACATGATCTTAATTCTAGAAAGATCTTGACATACTTGAACACTGGGCCTTATCCAACAAAATGCAATTCAGTTCTGTGAAAAGTAAGGTTTTACTCTTAGGGAAGAAACAACAACAACAACAAATGCACATGTATAGAATAAGTAGCACCTGGGTCAACAGCAGTAATTATGAGAGGGATCTAGGAGTCCTAGAGGACAATCTAAATATGTATAAGTATGAGTGCTTTAGCTGCAAAAAAAAAAAAAAAAAGCTGCATCAACAGAGGGATAGCATCAAGATCACATGAAGTGATACTATCACTTTATACTATGCTGATAAGACCACTCTTGGAATACTGCACTCAGTTTTGGTTACCATAATACAAAAACAATGTTGAGACTCTAGAAAGAGAAGAGCAGCAAAGATTATTAGAGAGATGGAAGCTAAACCATAAAATGAACTGTTGCAAGAACTGGGATTATCTAGTTTAATGAAGAGAAGGACTAGGGATCGCATGATAGCAGTCTTCCAACATTTGAAGTGATATCACAGAGGAGATCAACCCATTTCCCAAAGAACCTGAGGGCAAGACAATAGTAATGGATGGAAACTAATCAAGGAGAGAAGCAACCTAGAACTAAGGAGAAAATTCCTGTCCGGGAGAAGACTAGACTAGACTAGACTAGACTAGACTAGACTAGACTAGACTAGACTAAGATAAGACAGGACAGAACAGAACAGAATAGAATAGCTTTATTGTCACTTTAAATGTACACTAATTAGCATACATTAAAATGAAATTTTGTTGCATTCAGCTCTCAAAAACACACCATTATTCATATACCCACATACACATACATATATGACACAGAGATACATCACAGTCTAGTTTGAATGTAAACATATACATGGCAAAAAAAAAAAAGAATTTGAATTTGCAAGATGGATGGAATAAGGAACAAAGCTATTACGGAATCTAGTAATTCTGTTATAAATACTTAGAAACCTCCTCCCAGAGGGGAGCAACAGAAACAGACCATGAAGTGGGTGTGTGGGGTCCCTAACAATGCTTCAAGGTCTAAATACATAAGCAGTATCCTGAATAAAGGGAAGTGAGCTTCCTATAATCTTCTCAGCTGTCCTTACCCACTTTCTATATGGACTTTCTATCTGAAGCTCTGCTACCACCAAACAGTGATGCAGATTGTTAAAATGCTCTAAATCATGATTCTGTAAAAAGTAGCCAGGACAGAAGGAGAAAGATATGTTCTCCAGCATGATGACTGAAGAATCCATCAATGGGTTATTTCAGTCCTCCTACCCATGCCCCTCTTTGTCTGGGACCTCTCAGTTTCATCTTAGTCTTTCGCCCATGAGGACGTGATAACTTGACTCTCTTCATTTGAATAGCAGGTCAGACTAGATATTGTTAAATCATTGGTGGATTCTTCTTGGAGAATAGGAGAATTATAGTTTTGTTTGTTCCTTTCTCTGGGAGGTCTGGCCCTTTTCCCTTTCCCTTAGGGGCAGAGTAGTATTCCTCTCCTTGCAATGGGGGGGGGTGGCTGCCTTTTCCCTAAACTCAGCAGTCCGCTGAGTTTTTTCCCAATTAAACTGAAAGATAGAAATGGGGGGGTGCTCCTTTCGTTTTAGTTCAATAAAGGGACTGAGTTCTTCCCATTCACTTTTGGGCAGCGGATGCGTTCCTTCTAGCGGCCACCATTTTGAGGCCACCTGGCTTCTTCTCTGACCGGGCCCGGTCAGAGCTTCTTACTAACAGCCGCCATTTTGAGTCCGCTGGCCTACTTTCTTCTTCAAAGCATTTTCGGGCTAACATCAAGATCTGTTTCCTGCATGCAGTATGTTTCTGGGGAGGATCATTTTTGCCTTAAAACTCTTTTTTCCGGCTGCCGCTAAAAGAAATGAAGCCTCGTTCAGGAATGGCGAACGGATCGCGCCTAACAGATGTTAGGCATGACTTGCTCATTTGAGACTTTGAAAATCGAATTATTTACATTTTGCATTTTCTGGATTTGGAACATTCAAAGACTGGTACAGGGATTCGTTTCCTCTCCCTTCCCCCCCCTCCCTCTGAATTCAGGATATCCACCATTTTGTCAACTACTATTCCCATAGGGAAACGCCCAGGGCAGGCAGGGACGCCATTTTGGGTTTGATTGCATGCAATTAATTCACAGCTATAGCTGATATTTCTTCAATAACATATATCTTTAACCTAATTTGCAACTGAGCTTTAGTTTCAGGATCTACTATCTACTTGAAAACATCAAATCAACAAATTTGGTGGAATCATTGCTGAAGCGAAGGTCTATCAGGCCCTGCTTGTCATACTTTGCCTGAGTATCTGCCACTCTGCATTTAGAGGTTGCTTACAGGATCCTGACCATTGCCACTATTGTGAGACACGTGTGATTTCGTCACATTTTGACCTCAGGCCTGGTATACAGATTGCCCTGTGCCTTGGTGACGAGTGCTTCAGAGCGCCCAGCCTGAGCCCAGGTTTGCCATTGGGCCGGCTCATGCTTATCCACGTGCAGTCAGTCCCTCTTCGGGAGGGCTCCTGACATCTCTTGCAGAGTGAGTCAGTTCCAGAGTCTCGTCTGGGGTGCATCTCGATCGACATGGCAGAACCCACTGAGCCACAGCCTTTGGACACAGACAATACCCCCGTCCAAGCTGAGCCGGTTTCCGAGGCACCTAAAGGTAAGGCCAAAGCCAAATCTAAATACGGCAGAAAGGCTGGCAAGGCAAGCGATAGGCAGGCCGACCGAACACATAGAGCCCTGGAGAAGCAATTCTCCTGGGCCCAACACTTGTCAGCAGAGCATGGTCATACACCTTCCGTCTCCACATCACCTGAGATGGGAGCACATCTACTGTCCACATTGGGAACTTGGTCACCTGAGAACGTACTTCAGCAGGTCTCAACTCAGACCTTTGGTCAGGCGGACCACCCCTGTTTGGGGAGGACCTTGATCTGCCTGGCCCGTCATCAGCATCCACTGCAACATTCACACCGATGGCTGCGGGGTTACGGCCTACGCTAGAGCCATCTTTTTCAGACCAGCTCCAATCGTGGATATCGCAGGCGGTGATCCAAGCCATGGCATCATCGTGTCTCCACCAAGCGTCCCCAATTCTGCACCAGCTTCCTCTTCAAGACCTCCATTGTATCATTCTGATATGGTTTCCCCATCCCATTCTCCTGAATCCGAGTCTTCCAATGTCTCGGATTATGACAAAGGTGGGGACCGCTGGTCTGATTGTGAGGAACCTACACATGACTCTCAGCCCACGGCAGAGCTATTCAATGCATCGCTCTTTCCCTCCTTGCTGCGCAGGGCTTGTGCAGCGGGTAAACTCACCTCCGATACAACTCCAACTCCACAGCCTTCCTCAGATCAGGACACTAATCCCCTGTTCGCCAAACCAGTAGACAAACACCTCAAGATCCCCTTATACCTGAAGAACATACCCCCTTATTCCTGAAGAACATTCAGGGACAATGGGAATCGCCGGCAGCTCAACCTTCTCAAGGAGCATCTGAGCGCAAGATTGTGGACATGACAAAGAATTTGACAGACCTTTTGGAGGTGCCTAAAGTGGATGAATCACTAGCCCCACTTTTCTCTGCAGCCAGCCTTCCGGCAGATGTTTCAGATGCCCTTAAGGCGGAGGATAAAAAATCTGAACTTGCTTTATGCAAAGTTCACCTGGCATCTGCATGGGCAGAAAAGGCAGCAACTTCCATCTCTTTTTTTTGCCAGGATATCCATTACCTGGCTTAGACAATTACAGGATAGGATTCCATTGGAAGAGGTCAGGATCCATCAGGATCTGACCAAATTCATAGCCATGTCTGAGTATATGGTACATGTCTCCCTGTACTCGGCCAAACACTCAGCCTGGGCAATGGCTTCCAGCATAGTCACTCGGAGGCTACTCTGGCTTAAGAACTGGAGGGCTAAGAGTAAGCACAAGTGGCATGCGGCCATTGCCCCCTTCACGGATGGCCGACTATTTGGGGAGGCATTAACTCCATATCTCATTGAGAACAAGCAAAAGCAGAAGGTCATTTCTCATTTGGCTAGGAGAACCAACAGGCGTTTCCTCCCTTACAGTCGCCATCAGTCCTTTCGGACTGGAACCCTGACAGAACCGGGACAATCCTACCGGCCCCCAGCTCCTAAGGCAGAGTTCCCCTTTGATAGGGTAGGCTATAGAGACAGATCCCAGTACCAAGCCCAGAACAAACCTTCCTTTCATGGCAAAGGGGGTCGCCCCTTCCGCCGCGCCAAGTGACTCAGAGGGAACTCCCCCCATTGGCGGCAGACTTATTCTTTTTATCCACCAATGAGAAAGCACGACCACAGACTCCTGGGTTCTGTGCACCATAAGGGAAGGTCTGTCCCTGGAGTTCAAGTCCACTCCAATAGATCACTTTGTCTCTTGTCCAGCCATGAGAAACCTGATAAAAAGACGGCTCATGGAGGATGCCATTCGACATCTTCTGGGCATCAAGGCCATAGAGAAGGTCCTATTTGTGGTCCCAAAATCTTCAGGAGGATAGAGGGCAATCCTCAACCTCAA